TGGCAGCTGCTGCCATGGTGGCACAAGCTCTGCTGTCCATCAAGGTCCCGTAGTGCAGGGGCTTGCAGATGGCAACGTAGCGGTCATAGGACATGATGGTGAGAATGCAATACTCTGCCGATATCAGAAAGACAAACAGAAAGGTCTGGGCAACACATCCTGCACAGGAGATGTGCCTGGTGTCCCAGAGGGCATTGGCCATGGCTTTGGGGAGAGTGGTGGAGATGCAGCCCAGGTCGAGGAGGGCGAGGTTGAGGAGGAAGAAGTCCATGGGGGTGTGCAGGCGGTGGTGGCAGGCTACACGGCTGTGCTGATGAGGCCGTTGCCCAGGAGGGCAGCCAGGTAGATGCCCAGCAAGAGCCAGAAGTGCAGGAGCTGCAGCTGCCGTGTGTCTGCCAACGCCAGCAGGAGGAATTCACTGATGGAGCTGCTGTTGGGCATCTGCAGTTCCAGGGCATGGAGTCCTGTTCAGAGTGCAGAAGATAATGACAAGTCAAGACCATTTGCACAAACACTCTTCCCACTACTATATAGAAGTTTTTCTATGTGTATGGATAATGTTCATTTAACTCCATTACGGGAGTTTATTTTAATGAGCTTCATGGTACCTTAATAATTAGAAGCTTATGGGGCTCTTATTTCCTCTCATTCTCTGATCATATCTCAGCTGCCTGGATATTTTACTCTTACAAGCAGTTTCCATGTCTCACATCTTTACCTGTCTGCACGCAGAGTGCCCATCTCAAGTTCTGTGCAAAGTTCTCTTAAAGAAAGCTGCCTGTTTACAGACAAAGTGCATTGTTCCTGTCTGCAGAGAATTATGATAATTTCAGCTGGTACTGTCATTTGGGAGAAGAGAAACTGAAAGCACTTGAGGAGATGATTCATATAACAGCAGAATGAGAAATGTACAATTCAGGATTCTTCAGTGTTCATATTCCACAGCTCCTTTCAGATTTCTGTCTAAAACACTTCCCCTTTCCTATGTATAGAAAATGGAAAATCCCTGCCTTATCTCTCCTCTTGCAAAGTGCCTTTGGAAACAGCCTACAGTGCAGTGTAGCTGTGACCCCCCTGCCCCAGGCAGCAGCTGTGGCAGCAGAAGGCCCTTGCCCTGCCCTGCCCTGCCGGGGGGCTCCTTCCCCCCACACGTCTCCCCGCAGCGCCGTGGGCTCCCCAGGCAGGCTGAGTGCTGAGTGCTGAGTGCTGAGTGCTGAGCCTGGCAGGCGGCAGAGTCGCTGCCCCGGCACACAGCCCCTGGGGCACAGCAGGGACCTGCTCTGCAGGACAGCCCTGGGCACCCGGCTGCAGCCCCGGCTGCACAGCCTGCAGCTGTCCTGGGACACGCAGCCCTCAGGGCTGTGCTCTGATGCTGCAGCATAGAAGCCGTCAGCTGGAGCAGGTCTTTTTCCATGATAAAGAAACAGAGTTTGCAGCCTGATCTGCAATGGGATGTCACCAGCATAGTGATCCCTGCAGAAAAAAACAGTACATAGCCTGCAATGAGAAATTACCTTGTCAAGGGTTGTGAGCAATGCTCCTTCAGTGATATCACAGCCTGCTAACATGCCTCACAGCCGAAAGCTCTTTCCTTCTGTCCCTGTCACCTGTAGATCATGCCCCCAGTCCAGCTGTGTGCTGTACAGGAGCTGCTCCTGGGCACAGCCGTCTCTCTGCTGTGCTTCCCACTTCTATAAGCTCCCTGTGTCCCAGGAGCCCAGCCCAGCTCAGTAGAAGAAAATATGATTTTCTTCTCTCCCTGGAGGTATCCATGGACTTTCTGAACTGAGAGCTCCTGCAGCGCAGTAGGGTCATAGCTACAGAATGCATTTCAAAGTCAGCTCAATTAATCAAAACATCCACTGGATTCCGAAAACACAGTTGTTCCTACAAGAAGAAATTTGATCATGAGAGAAACATTTGATCATGGAGCAAATCTGGAAATGCTCCATTCATGACTTGTAAATGCAGTCGTAACATTACAGAACCATAGAAAAGTTTTGGTTGGAGGGGACTTTGAAGATCACCCAGTTCTGGTCCCTAGCCATGGCCAGAGTTGCCAAACACCAGATCAGGCTGCCCAGAATCTAATCCATTCTGACCTTGAATGCCTCCAAAGATGGGTCATCCAAGCTTCTTTTGGCAACATTTTCCAGTGCCCATGTGTAAAATAATGTCTTCTTAACATCTGATCTCAGTCCCCTTTTAAATTTAAAGCCATTTCCCCTTGTCCTGTTTCTATCAGGCCATCTCACCCTAACACTATGTTTAGGCATTTCATCTTCAGATGCAAACCCTGGAGATGAAATGGGATTCTGTTCCTCACAGGATCATGGGAGCCAGAAGTCCTCTTAGCTGAGTTCAGATGTGCACAGTGAGGTGTCTGTGTGTGAGCCCCTCATCTGAATCCTTGCTCTTTATTCAACAGGGACTGCACTGCTCACACACACACGCTCAGGGATAACCAAGGTGCCTGGGGTGATCCTAGCTGTGTGCCAGTGCTTGTAAACTGCGGC